TAGATTAAGCAAAAAAATACTATATGTTACCTAATCTCTCACTCTTTCCTCTTTCAACCCAGTTCCAACAGATCCAAGAAATTAAACCAATGTGAGCACCATAAATTATTAACTCCTTGGGATAAAGGCAAATAGTCCACCATGCAGCCACAAGTAAGCATGATTCTGAGGGACTTTTTGTTGACCATGAGTGCAAAGATAAAAAGTAAGAGAACAAATGCACGAGTGGAGAAGTATAAGTCAAAACGCGAGTAATACTCGACGGAGTGGAACCAATAAAATCAACATGAGGTTGTTGTGAAAGGTTATTTATTGCTACAGGAGTCACGCGAGGTACTTTAGATGACATTTCAGCCTCGGGAACGTCAGGGTCTATAGAAACATTTGCAAGAAAAAGTGCCTGAGAATCAAATACGAACGACATCAATCAAAATCATGAAAGCAAAACACTATTTAATGGAATTTTTGAAATCATATGTTTTATGCATGAGATTAGATTTTTCGGTAAAGTACAGGTAAAATGCCTGGTTACAAGAAGTAACCATTACATAATTAAAATAAAGTATTACACGTGATGTTTATTTAATGTCCATTGCTTTAAAGTGTCATCTTGTTGCTTTCAGGTAAACGTAATTGATAATTCTGTAATTATAAGATATTGGTCATGCAGAACATGCAATTATGATCATGATTTACAAGTCATTATTGGCCAACCGAGTTTTAATTCGAGATTGTTGTGCTTATGTAATAACATACAAAAAAATAACAAGAAAAAAATCTGAGTTTGCACGATAATAATAATTATATACTATATATATGTAATTTGGAATCAATGTGATTATCGTACCAATGTAATCGAGTATTCATGATATTCACAAAAAAATTTTTTGTTGGTCATTTTCAACCATATCGAAAACAGCGATAATGAAATACCGTACAGCACTGTATATAGTACCCGAGTATTTTAAAAAAAGCCGGCCTAGATTGAATAATACCCCAAGTATTGGGAAATGGGAGGATAATACAAATAATTGTTACTGATCAATATTATACTTTAGTCAAATCCAATGAAAAGATCGTACATTAATTATGAAAATTGGGCCACAAATCGCTTGTCAAAAAAAGGGGGAATACTATTCCGGGGGTACTATATGCAGCGCTATACGGTAGTAGAAAAAGTAAGAAAAATTAATTGAAAAATTAATGAAAACTAAGAAACATATAAGAATATAACTTGTCTCTAT